TGCGCACCCCTCCCACCCAATTTAAGCGTTTTTGGCCTTGTGTAAACTTTCAAAGATTCTCTATAGACTTGGAGAACCAAGATTTAACCTTAAGGAAGCATGTGGCGTTGACTAATATGGTAGAGTAGTCCTCAATTTGAGTTGTGGGCTTCACTTCATGACACACCATGAAGTTACGGGGAAGATTCATAATCAGGTAGTAGTTGTGATGATAGATTGTGAAGCAACACATAGTTTCATAATTCCAGAGTTAGTTGAAAAACTCAAGTTACCAATTAAAAAACAAAGGAATATGTTTGGAGAAGATTCTGGCCAATCATGCACCCTCACACACCAAACAAGAAATTAAAATTTATTTCGTATTGCGTGTGTAATCACATGAAATGTGTTTGGTATTGTCCACTCTCGTCCTTTTTCAGGCACATCAGGGAGGACAAATAGGCATATCTGTAGATTGTGAATGGGCAGAACCTAATTCAAATAAAGTTGAAGACAGGACTGCTGCATCTAGACGCCTTGATTTTCATTTCGGGTGGTAAGTTCTGGACTCTTATGGCATCTTTACTATTGTTGGGGACAGGGAACAAGCGTCAATATACCATTTCGTAATATCTATCTCCTTTCACCCCCCACATGAACAAGCGTCAATATACATTTCATTGTGTACTAGTGATTATAAAAAAGGACTTCCAGAGTTAACTATAGAAAATCCTTTACTGTTCTTTAAAAATAAAAAAGGACTTCCAGAGATGCTCGAAGTCCCTTCCTAGCATAATTATTTAGTAGTTTGAGCTATTAATATTGGAATAGGTACATGAACCCAATATTTTATGGCGATTACCCGGAAGTTATGCATGAAGAACTTGGAGATAACCTTCCGAAATTCACTGATGAAGAAAAGGAGTTGATTACGAATAGTGTCGACTTTGTGGGTCTGAATCACTACACATCGAGGTTTATTGCTGATGTACAAGAGACCTCTGATCACAATGATTTCTACAAATCACAAAAGATGGAAAGAATTGGTAAATCCCGATCTCTCTCTCTCCCTGTTTTAGAACAAGGATTATGCTTAACGTTTCTGTTATTATCAGTTCAATGGGAAGATGGTGAGCTGATCGGCGAGAAGGTATGGCTCTCTCTCTCTCACACATCACAGTATACACAACCACACTTATACTTCTACTGCAATAAAGGCATTTTCAGTAGGCATCTGTGTAAGCTATGATCTTCATTTTGCTGAGAAATTTATATGCAGGCAGCATCAGAATGGCTTTACGTTGTTCCTTGGGGCCTCCGAAAGCTTCTAAACTACATAAAACAGAAATATAAGAATCCAATTATCATCATAACTGAGAATGGTATGTGCACTGAAAGCCTTCTAACATTGTTGGAATGCAATGAACTTTCCTGTTGGAAGGAAAATTGTAGTTTATTTTTTCAACCAACCATGTGATCACTCAAGTATATTGAAATATAAAAGATAATGGAATTACAGAATAACTCTCCTATTAATCGAGGTATACTTGGCACTTCCATGTGGATTAATGCTTTTCCATGAGTGTGAACCATTTTGAACCCATTTATGCAGTGGTCTTCTCAATTTGTTCAATCAAACTGGCAATTGCAGAATCTTAAAACGGAGGGATTATGTATTTTGAATGACGAATTGATTAATATTTCTGGAATTTATCCTTAAAGTGATAAAAACTTGAACCTTACTGGCCATGCAATATTTTATTTCCGACGTCAGGTGTGGATGATGAAGAAGATGAAACTTGCCCACTACATGAGATGCTTGATGACAAAATGAGAGTTGGTTATTTCAAGAGTTATCTGGCTGAAGTATTTAATGCAATCAGGTTGGCTGCATACATTTCTTTCTTTCAAAATGTTTTCTTAATCAATAGAGATGCCATTGTTATTGATTTAGGAGGTTCTGAAACCGAGTTTTTTTTAAACACATTAGCATTTACCTTTTGTTCAGGTTTTACTCTCGTATAGCCTCTTTCATTCTTGAACTGTACTGGCGTTCAGATACGAGGGGTTAAGTAGGAAGCATGATTTTCTATTATTACCAATATGATTTTGATTCTTTTTCACTTCACATTAACTGGGTGCACATCTGCACCTTGATCTTTTCGTTTAATTCACAGAACTTTTATTTCTTTAAAATTAGTTGTTCCTTAACTTTCCTACTCAATCTCGTTTTGGTTTCTAACTTTCAAACCTTTTGTTTTGGTTTCTTAACCTTCAAATATTCTCTTTCAGTCCTCAAACTCGGTATAAATTTCTTTTGGGTTCAGATTCTATTTTTTTCTCATACTTTCATCTCTAGTTTATTTTTAAAATGTCTATTCTAGTCCCTATTCTTTTAATTTCTATATATTTTAGTCCAAACAATTGAAAAATATCTATTGTGGTTCGTATACTTTTAAAGAGCGACTAATTTAGTTCTTCTTCTCTTATTTTTATTTAATCTCATTTGTGTTGGAATTTTGAGAATTGGACCAAACGGAGATTAGTTTGTTTGTCAGTAGCAGACTGCTACACTGAATGATGAGTTATTTTGGTACTAATATGGGATTCTTTGCACAGGGATGGAGTAGATGTTAGGGGTTACTTTGCATGGTCATTAGTGGACAACTTTGAGTGGGCTCAAGGCTACACCAAACGATTTGGATTGGTGTATGTGGACTACAAGAATGGCCTAACTCGCCACCCTAAATCCTCTGCTTACTGGTTCCTCCGCTTCTTAAAAGGTTCCGATGAGAAAAGTGGCAAGCAAGAATGAAACACTCCTTCCTTCCGTATGTCTTATTGACACTCCTTTTCTCATCTATTTTCAATCTTAAATCTTCTTGCCTCTCTCTCTCTCTCTCTCTTTGCTCCCCATTTGTTTTGTTTGCTATCAGCTTGTGCTATTAATTAACCAATACTTTTGACTTGCTTCTTGGAATGAAGGTAAACGATGATCAAAAAGGGGGCGAAATATTGGTTGAAGCCATCGAAGGAGAATCTATCAGGCATGTCTTGTTGTTTCGGTAATCCATAATTAAAATGTCACTCTTAATGTATGTCATTGTCATTTGAAGTTGGTGTGTGGTTAAAGGACAATAAAACTCTGTATTATTTGAGTGGAAATAAATGTAATTATGTGTTATCTAAATAGTGTGATTCATTACATCATCTTTACTGTGACTTTCTTGTATTTCTTTTTAGTTTAGTTTTTGTTGAATTCAAGTTCTAGTTTAGTTCATGTTTTGTAACCTACTTCCAAGTATATTCAAGCTAATCTTTTCAATGAAATTTATTGTTATTCATTCAAGAACTTTTGTTTCTTCTAGTAGAATGAGCTAAAATCCTTGCAGGTTCAAGTATGTACATATCCTAAGCAGGAATATAAACTCCACCTTGTGCTTATTGAGTTTATGTCTCTATTAACTCATTTAAATTAGCATACTTTGTATGACTTCGAAGATCAATACAGTAGAGGTTCATCTTTCCATAGAAGCCTTGGAAAAGAACTAGAAATAGAAGTTTACTTTTTGTATCTAGACATACGACAATATGACAAGAACCCTTAGACTTAGTATAGTTGAGTGCTTGAATTAACCATAGACACATGTTTAATGCTTTTAGACTCCTACAAGCACAAGTTAACACATAAAATGTCATCTCTTCAGACTGCCATACATATGAGAGTATACAATACCGTTATATTTTGTGAAAATCAGATTAGTTGATTCTTTTGTGTAAGGTTCGTATAATAACGTACCATTTTGATTAGTTGATAATATAGTGTAAGGTTCTTCGAGTAGGTTTTTGCTCCAAATTTGAACTTCTAAAACCACACAGTCAAATTCTCAAATTAAAACCAAGTATAAAGCAGCCATAGAAACTAAACCAAAATAAACAAATATCAATAGCAGGTGATCTGTACAAATTCTTCAAATAGGGGTTGGGTTGGGTTGGTGTGTTTGGATTATCCATCTCTGGGCTGTATTCTGTTACCTGAAATATCCGTCAAATAAAACAAAAATATGCAAAACTGATAGGCAAATTAAAATGAACCACATCCCAAGGACCGAAAATTAACTTATGATAAATTGATCTAATATCATCTATTTTCTAGTATACATGCAGGAGTGTCACGGTCATGTTTGTCCAAGGCATGTCGCCCATGGCCACATGCCCATGACAAGCCGAAACCTTTGTCTTGTACTACTTTATTGCTTTCTTTATTGTTTTCTTTTACGGCTTTCATGTTATTATTTCTTTCTTATTTTCTTTAAGAGTATGACGTTTCAACAATGTCATGTTTACGCGGTAGACATGAAAGACATGAAATGCCTCAAAATGTACTATAGGAGGATACGACTAGTTATCAACTTCTCCCTACTCGATAGTTATCCCCTAGTTGTCAACTTTTCCCTACCCTAGTTATATGCAGTCGTCGTTGTTGCCTTTTTGCTTACATTCCCATAACATCAATTTCAATTTCTCTTTCTAAAAACTTCTTTTGAAATCGAGACCCGAGGTTTGTACTCACGTTGCCTGACCGTAGGCAACGTAACTCAAAGTAGACTTGACCCACTCAGTGTTGAGAGTGAGTACCACAGGCAACGTAACTCAAAGTAGACTTGACCCACTCAGTGTTGAGAGTGAGTACCACACAATCACCAAATCCGCTACCTAGAAACCACGATTGTGACACATAGCATAACATGTATAATTCCTCCGTTAAAGTGGCAACTTCTTACTGTTGTCTTTTTATGGCTACATAGGTGGTTAGTAAGCCTATCTCATACTGCGGAATAATATCGTTGCATTCATAAAACATTTGGATAAACAAACCACTCAAGCACAACAGACCTGTTGCTCAAATTCCAGCATGAGCCAAATTAGGAATCATCAACAAGCGGTATAATTGAATGTCTGTCTATTAAGAACAATGCAAAGCTGATTCTTCAAAACAGTTGAAGATAACATCATAAAAGTAAAATAAAAGTAGATAAATCATTCAAGATACTACCAAGTCTTTTCAGTACATTTTTATCAAAGAGAAATAACAAAAATATCACCTCAAACAGAGTAGAGCAAAAGATTGCATGACCAAAGTCGTAGTAGAGTATAACGTTACAATAATTATTGCTACTAAATCAGTCATCATTATTGGTACATAAACACACCACCAAACTTAAAAGGGCAATAACAATTCCAAGTTGCATCTCAGAAAATAGATGATGATATTAGATGGACTTCAGTGGAATGCAACACCATAAATCACTTTCCACCTATTAACTCACTCCTCTTCTTCAGCCTCTTCCAGCCAATTCACAAAATGTTCCAGTGCCTTCACGAAGCTCTGCCTGTTATGTTGCCATTTACACAATTGCAGAGTCAAGTACAAATACACAGTCGGATTCATAAATAACAAAACAAAGATCAATCAAGAATAGCTCTATATGAACTATAGTTAGAACAGAGGTCTATGCAGAGATGACATGCATACCTGCCCTTAGGGTTTGTTCCTTTACGGAACCAAAAGAGTATGGTGTCCTCAGCCAGTACATCCTGGTCATACAGAGACCTAACAATTTCGGGGAAAAGCTTCATCAGCTTAGCATCCTCATAGCATTGCATCTGAACTTTGTAGATAAGTTCCAGCTCAAGTTTCCCTGTGCTGCAGAAGGTATTCAACAATTCTGCCCAAGTTTTCACCTGAGTGAAAAGAAAAGGTCAATACTTCAACATCTTCTGTCTATATTTCAAGGAACAGCTTTTAAATTGTAAAATTTATGTGAAAATACACTCTAGATATGAGAAATATGTCAAGGAACAACAATGGCTCAAGTACTTTATGTTAGTTGAGCATAGAAAATAAATAACAAGGTCAATCCCTAAACAGCTAGCCTAACAAAACTAACATAAACACTCCTCTCCACACCCTGCCTAAAGTTTCCATATTTGAAGGAATCCATAGGGAACACAGAAATGAGCCTGAACCTTAGAAGAGTTAAGAAAAAAGGGGATTACATGCCTAAATTAAAATTTTATAACAGAAACTGAAACTCCAACTCCAACTTGAGAGTAACCAAAATCAAGAGACAGCAGACATAAGATTTTAGCGTAAGTCCATGACAGTCTAAGACATGCACTCCCAGAATCTATCGAGAATATTCAAGCTCCATTTGCGGGAGGAAGACAAATCATATATGCTATTTCGGTGGCTTCAGAGGTGGTAGATTACTCCGAAGCTAAGAGGCCAAAGTTTTTTTTTTCATTGAAACTTGGACTATGAGAATGACAAAGTGAACTGAAATTTCTTATCAGATTATGTTTTGACCAAGAAAGGGTTTTAGAGATAGATGGATGAAGTGAATTTTGTGGCTGTTTGTCTTTGGTTAGCTATTCAATTATCATTAACGGTTGGCCTAGTGGAAAAATCAAGGGTAAAAGGGGTTTGAAGCAAGGGAACTATCCCCTTCCCTTTCATTGCCCTTTTCTTTCCTCTCCGAACCCAATTCCTCTTAGCCCCAAAAACTTACTCATCAAACGTATAGCTGAGTTAATCAAGTTTCAAACACAGGGCCACCTACGGGCTCAGAAAATTCGAACAAGCGAGCAAGATGCAAGTGTATGATCAAAGTTACCTGACGAAGGGCTGAATTAGCATTCTGTTGTTGGTTCTTTCCAGACCACTGAACGGCATCCATTATGACATCCCACAAAATTCGAACAACCTCAATATCGGGTAAATTGGCATCTCTCATTCGAAGTTTCACACTTTCTATGACTTCAGCAATGTCAGTTTCCTCGGCTATCTGGGTTGTTAAAGCGGATTTCATTTCACTTAGCTTCACATCAAACATTTTCTTTGCGTTGTACTCTACCAAGGGCACCAGCCCTTCCTTCCTGAAAAATTAAGTCATGCCGGCACAAAAATAGAGAAATGATTCTAATATTCAAGAAAACAATAATAAAATCATAATATTTTACAACTTAGATTGCCACTACTAAAACAAGTCTGTAAAAAAAAATGGTATGAAAATAATAATTCAATAAATAAGAAAATAAAACATACTCTTCAACAAAATACGAGAAGTAAAAAATATACTAACGTGAAATGCTCAGAAAATCCTTCAGCAGATCGCTTAGCAGAAGGAAAGAACTCCAGAAGATTGTCTTCCACTTTGCCCCTCTTCAGGATGGAAATCAAATCATCAAGGCTATTATCCATGAGATACTCCTTGAAGAAGTCAGTTATAAATGAAAGAACTAGCCCTTTGGCCACAAGATTATCTTTAAGCAATGGCTGAAAAACAGTCTCGGGAGGCAGGCCCGACAGCTTCTGTGAGAAGGCAAGGGCAGTGAAAATAGCAAGTTTTTTTCTTTCATTTTCCTCAAAAAACTCAAGTGACTGCAGGAACCTTCGCATAACATTTTCAAGATATTTTATGAGAAATGGCCTCCGCCTCAAAATTTTCTGTATGTAGATAACAGATGGTAGAATGGCTTCACGTTTAGGTTCACAGTCTAATATAGAGTATGGATGGCGCTCTCCTTCATCAGGTTTTGTTGTTCCAGGCTGTGTGCGTCCACCAGTGAAAATAACCTGGCAGTACAACATATGTTGGTGGAAATCAGATACAAATTAGCTGAACTTCCTTAACGATGCAATAGGAAATTTAATTACTGCAATGCTGTACAATTTGTATTTTATTAGAAACAAAACTTTCATGCAAAAAGGGAATGAGAAATCCCTGCCCAACACTTAACGGATAACTGCAGCTCTATAATTAACAAAAAAAAAAAAAAAAATAGAGAAGCATTTAGCTCGTTGAAAACGATCAGATGTCGAGGAAGAATACTTTTCCAGCAAGTTCTACATATATTACGTATATACATCAAGTTAAAATGAAAAATTTATGGGTTAACCATTCCTACCATAGTGTAATTGAAATTCGTACTGTATAATGGGAAAACTAGCACTTGCATGCAGTTCAATCAATATTACGAATAGTTGCTTAAGGAATGAATTAGAGAAAACATTAAATTTTCAATCAGCAATGAAGATAACTTTAAAATGACATAAACAATGGACAGAATACGTAGCCAAGATGACAATCTTGTTATCAAAACTCAAAGAGAAGTGAAAGATCCTCAATAGTGTTTCACATTAGACGACATCACCATATGGAAAGTGAGTGTACAACACCATCAAAATGACTACCTCGAAGAAGGTGTCCCCGTATCTTGAGAAGTCAAGTTCTGAAGACTCGATATTTCTGGCAATAAGTTCCTGTACAAGAAAATCACCATCACATTATAAAATTGCTAATCATATCTACGCTGAAAACTATTTTTTCAATCATGAATGACGGTACAGAAATTACCAAATCACCAGCATTATCCAGATAAATCTGGACCACTGCATCAGAAAAAGACGCAGGGTCCAGTGGTATCGTAATATTCCGTTTGCGGGTCTTAATCCGCGTGCCACTGCCAAGTCAAACGATCACGGGGGGTGTAAGTAGTAGTCAGTTTGCCGATGGCAGAATGCCAAAATGATGTATGTGAAGAAAACAAAACGTTCATGAACAACTAATTAATAGCATCATACACTAATAATTTAAACAGGAACACGATTTTAAGAGCAAATGGGCCTGCTGTTAAAGCTACAATTCTTCAAGAATGGAAATAGCATAACCACAAATAGCAGACAGAGAAAAATGTATAATTGTGCTCTATTTTTTCAGAGTGAAAAACAAAATTTCTTGCTCTAAAATAGTAACTATCGAAGTAAGTGAGAAAACCAACATCAACTGCAGCCAGCAGTAGTAAGAATAAACATAGCCTACTCACCAAGAATGGGATGGTAAAATCCAAAGCATTGATTAAATGTAAAATAGATTCATTGACATTTACATCCTTAGACCAAGTAAAAAATAGAATAAACATTGGGAAATACTGTAAGGTAACCATCGAGGTGTGAGAATCCATTTTTTCATTTCTTAGAGATTTTACTAAGATAAGAGGAAGGGGAACACCCACGTAACCTATTTTTTTATCCATCTCAGTGACTGCAGGTGCAGACAATATTAACTGACCAGCTCCTAACCACAGTACAATACCCCACTTAACCTATCATAAATAACCATACAAACCCATTCATCTGGAACAATTGAGAAAATCACGGTCTAATACTAAAAGAGAAAATGATAAACAGTTATATGAGATAGTAATAATCAGCTATACCACATAAAAAATTAACTAGAAACTAATTCCATATAAAGAATACAAAAGGTAGAAGATACTAATAGTAGAACTTGGCTTACCCAAGAGTGGGTTTCTCCTTCGAGCTGCATGTACAAAAAAAAAAAATCCACAAAAGAGAAAATAATGAGTCAGACTACAAAGTACATAGCATAAGTGTACTAAATTTTACAGAATAATCACAGATCATGTGAATAAGCACGATTGTTGTATGGGGGAGGGAGTAAATCGAGAAAGGCGCTTCTTCTTCAATAAAATTTTTTCAAAAATATGTAACTCAGGGAAATATCTATTCTGACTTGCGTGAAAGAACTTCAACATCTGTCTACATCACACCTAGGAAACGTTTATCCAACTCACAAATTAGTTACAATCAGAAGCTGAACGGGAACGGAATTAGCTATTAAAAACAATTGTATGTTTTTATCTATCTTATAAAGAGAAAAAAAAACGTGATTTGAAGATTAAACCCTACTTAGGTATTAGAACTTTTTCGTCCAAATAAACCTATAAACCAGATCCACGATACCAAAATAAAATCCAAAAATTCGATACATTAATGACAAAAGGCGATGAAACCAGAAGATCGATAAAATATCAGAAACGACTTTAAAAAAAAAAAAAAAAAAAAAAAAAAAATCTATGAATCGGGACAAAAGCAATACAAAACATAACCGGGACAAAATTTTGCTTAAAAAAACCTTAAATTCTGAAATCACAAGTGACCGACACACAAAAGCAAACAGATCCATGAACGAAATCTATGAATCGAAATCGTCGGTCAGGCCTAACGAGAGAAACATAAAAGAGTTATAGAGAGAGAGATAGAGAAACGGAAAACGATTAAAACCTCATAAACCAAGACGAGTGAGGATCGAAGAAAGCTTAACGAGTCTGTACAAGTCGCTTGAGTTCGTCCCCAAAAGATGACCGAGAGAGGCCAAAATAAAAGCAGGGAGAGAGGAATGGAGATAGGAAAACGAGGAAAAAGTTGTAGGTCGAGCAGGTTTATATAGTGAGAGCGGAATGTAATTAAGATGAAACAACGTGGCCTAATTGTAATTCCGGTTGAAATATAAGGACTCCATTGCAAATTTTTTATTTAGTCACAAAAAATATATATATTAAACTTAACTTTGTATAAATTTATAATTTAATACATATAATTTTAAAATCTTAGAAATAATTTATACCTCCATAAAACTCACATAAATATTTTCTATTATATAGATTAAATATGGTAAATAATCTGGCAGAAATTATTTATAAATTTTTATCGAATCATAAAATTTTAACTTTTAAAACTACTCTCTCCAAATTACATTATTATTTTCTCGAAACTATCATTTATTATTATCTTTGATGGTATTTTGGTTGTAGTATTTGTTAGGGGAGCGGGGGTATACGCTCATAAATCACTAAAAATAATATTTAGTCACAAATACTTCGAGAACAAGATGGATACGTTACATTATGAAATAAGACATATCAATAATGTTACTAAGATAAGATACTCATCTTAATTTATATATTATAAACTTTTTAAATTATTATTGAACATAATCTTCTCAACCGTTAATCACATACTATTTAAGATTACATTAACAAAGCATAAATTTTGCAGGGGAGAAGAGAGAGAGAGAGAGAGAGTACTCCCATCAACATCCTTCATAATGCCATAACTTGCAACTAAAACACCCAACAAATTTAATAATTCTGTATGCAAAACTGTTCATAGGAAGTTTTAAGGTTAAATAGAATCAAGGAAAATAAAGGAGCAAACGAGCCAATGGTGATTTGATTGAACTAGAAATCTCGAGTGTTCAAAATCTGAAAGGGTTCATAAAATTTAAGAAACACTAAAAGGGAAAACAAACTCCAATATCTCTAGCATATGACAAAAATGGGGATCACTTCGTAAATAAAACATCCAGCATGACTGCGAATACAAAAGAAATGGCAAACTTCTCCTTCAGCTCCTGAATTTTTTCATACCCATCTCAGAAAATGACTCCCTACTTCTTCAAAGATCTTGCACACTCAAACCTACAAGAAATTAAACCAAAAATCTGTGTTGTAATGGAAACAAGTTGAAAAACAAAATTAAGTACAAATTTGAATTCAATGTAGAAATGTAACAACAGTCAATTACTCCCATGGCTGTTCTTTCTTGCTGAATAATGAAATGCCACAACTTAATAGTACAGTCTCAAAATCAATCAGACGAACTCGAGAACATACTGTTACAAATTGGGTAAGAACCAAAAAGATTACCTGGTGGAAGAGACTGCTTCAATTTGTCTGCCTTCTCAGAGTCGAACACGCAGAGCGTGTAAAGGTACTTCGAGCAGCGAACCTTAAACTTAACTACATCTTTGCTCCTCTTGATTTTGACAGAACGGGCATCCTTTCTTCTTGCAGTGAGAAGAAAGTCTTTTATCTCGTGGATTTGCTTCGGCTGTCCAAAACAATACACAAAAGGGAATTTCAGCCATACTGTTCTTTTTTAAAAACAATGGTATTCATCAAGTTCATCAACCCATTCAAGATACGGAACAGTTTATGAGAACATCAACTGCAAAAACGATAAATCTATACCATCCATTCACTTCAGGAATGATTGAAATAATGTGAACTAAATGGGAAGGAGAACCATCCAGACAATGAATACGCCAGAACACAGAAGACGACACGGAATAGAAGTATCCGACCATAACATTTTTCAGTACAAGCGTAGAGAATCGAAGTTGAGTGACCACAATCATGGCCGAATAGTCGAACTTACACAACTGAAGGAACCTGATCCGAAATCTTATCAGCACCCAATTCTTAGTTCAATAATTCTAGAAGTTTTCGCCAAAAATCCAATAGTACTATCCTCAACAGCAGGGATAACTTTAGCATTCAAACATTCAATCAAATAATTGGAGAACTCTAGCATACAGAAAGCACATAAAGCAAGTTATTGATTGGATACAATAAAAACTCGGCCATGAAACCTAGGATGAATCGACACATAGGTAAGTGCATTAACAGAAAAAACAAGAGTGACAAAATGCATCATAGATACGAAGAGCGAAGCAGATGAACAGAAATAATCACAGACGAGAGAAAGATCACCATTTTCGGGGGGCTGCGAGAAGAAGAGAGACGACCCGAATGCGAACGGCGTTGTCAAATGGAGAGCGAGTAAGGAATAAGGAGTGTCAGATTTAGGGTTTCAGAAATCCCTGGCCCGAAGGTCGATAGCCCATTTAAGGTTTAATGGGCCGTAAGTCTTATACTTAATTGGGCCGTAGTCTCATACTTAAGTTGGGCCGTATAATCTCATACTTAGTTGGGCCGAAAAATTTTCATTTATAATACCGTTTTCACTAAATCTTCTTTGACTGTGTTGAACGACTCAATCAGCCACGACAGAACCAAACACATCTAACGACTCGATCTTCTTCAACCCAATAAGAGCGACGACTGAGCCAAACTACATCCAACGATTCAATCTTCTTTGAACCAATGAGAGCGGGAGAGAACCAAACCACATCGAACTACTCAATATTCTTCGACGAGTTTCCTTCGTCCACAAATGTCGTTGACTAAAGCTCATAAACAATAACTCAAATGGACCCATGTCACGAAATGTACTCCCAAAGAAGGCTCACAACCGCTGAAAAATGGAGTGTTTCCTCTCCCACGCAATCTCATTGCCCATGCCCTATGTCGTTCATTATTTAGGAGTGATACTCATGCACCAACTTGGATAGCGAACGATACTCCTCAATACTACAAATTGCTATTAGGATTGTCTCTATGAATAAGCAAACGGTGAGGGAATCATGCATTGACTAATTTATAAGTAAATAAAACATCTCAGTTGGTATGAGCCGTTTTGAGGAATACCAAAGCAAAGTCATGAAAGTTTATGCTCAAAATTGACAATATTATCGAAAACCAACTAAAATAAAGTAAAGTCATGAAAGCTTATGCTCAAAATTAACAATAATACCGAAAACCAACTAAAATAGTTATTCAATTAATATATATGCATTTAATACGAGATACTGATTGGGAAACAATACATTAAATAAATAACACGATTATATTATATTTTCTTAGTGTGTATAATATATATTTGGTAACACGTTATTAAGTTAGCCAACTTATAGCCTATTTAACACGGACAAATATACATTTAATTAATAAAACAATAAAATTTTAAGCTAATTCATTAAAAAAACAAAATTTAATTTAATTTAATTTAACTTAATTTAATTTATACACACATATATACATACTTCAAATTCACTTTATAAAATTGAAATATATATTTAAAATTTGTAAACTGAATTTGAATATATATTAGTGGTAAAAAAAAAAAAATTAAACCAAAGGAAGTGTGAAATTCGTTTTTACAGCAAAAATAGAATAAAATAAATAAATTAAAACCAAGAAGTTGGAAGAAACTCACACCTCAAAACCCTACACCGAGATCGCTTGTGCTAACCCTCACTGGTCTGAACCCTTCCCGCCGTTTCACATCAAATCTCTGCAACCTCTCAGACTCTCTCTGCCGTCAAGCCGCCCCGATTTCTCCCATCCATTGATCTCCTGCAGCAGATTCATCAACGTCACGCCTCGGAATCGCCCATCTTTCTCACTGGATCGTCCCTCGCCTGCTATCGCTTTCAAGGTTTGTTGGCTGTCTCTCTCTCTCACTCACGGTTCGGCAATGTCGCTTGAATCTCTGATTTACTCCTGAAAACGGAACCCTTTTGTGTTTTGTACTTTGGTTCCGCCTCATTTCATGTTTTAACCCAGTGGCCCTTCGCTGTTTGAGTGTTCTCTCGTACCCCGTTTCTTGCTGGAACACGGCAAGCATTTACTTTTCATTGCAGTGCATCGCAGAGCTGAGAACTCTTTCTTCTTCGTGAAGTCGTATCTACTCTCTCAGACGTTTCACGGTTTTAGTTTTCGAGCTCGCTCAGCTCTATTTTGTTTTACTTTGCTATGTCTCTGTGATTTTTTTTTTTTTTTTTTTTTTTTTTTTTTTTTTTTTTTTTTTTTTTTTTTTTTTTTTTTTTTTTTTTTTTTTTTTTTTTTTT